TTCCATTCACCAGTGGCCGAATTGGGAGCCCAGAAAGCGGATTCGTCTCCTTCAAGGACAGCAGCGTTATCGCTGTAGGCACTGACAGTGTACTCTGGATGCTTTTTGTGGGTGTTGCGGATCATGGCAAACAGACTGTTAGGCATCTGCTTTCCGTCGATGACCCACGATGCGTTGAACTGCTTATGACGGCAATGCTCGGAGTTGACCTGAGCGAACATGAACAGCTCGACATCGGTCGGATCGCGAGCAATAGGGCCATTGGGACCATAGGCTTCAGCCAGGTAATCGATTTCGGACTCTTCAAGAGCCAATCCGAGCCGCTTGTTTGCCTCCTGCAGGACCTCCTTGGGAGATTTGCCACTTCCGTGCAGGGGGATCGTCTCGAGCGGCAGACGGCTATGCTCAGAGAACATCAGGTGCAAGTCAGGCTCTTCCTCACTGATGACCTGAGTCATCCGATCGTGCAAGATGTCCTGGTATCCCGACTTGTACTCGCCAGAGCCTGCGCGCAGGCAGGAAATCTTCATACCCCGCTCAATGCGGTTGACGTATTTGCGCAGACCACAAACATGGGAGATACCGGTAGCCTGAGAGCTCCAGGGGGAGATTGTACCAGTGCGGGGGAAGATGTGGAAGACATCGGAAGGACCATCTTCAGCGCTGAACGAGGGCGGGACGTCGGTGATATCGCCATAGTGAAGGAGCTGTTCCAAGACACCTTGTTGGGGAGCGTCCAGCGGCTGGGAGAGGTAAACGTAATGAACCCATTGGGCACGGACATCCTGTGCACCAATGCTGGCAGCAATTGCACGACCACGAGAACGGGAGAAGGCAACAGAGCCAGGAATGGCCAAGTAGGTGGAGTCGGAGGCCATTGTGAAGTTGTGGGTATTCGGTCGGTGCGGAATTTAGGAAACAGGTGGAAGGGTAGAACGGAATGTAGTGTTGTACTTGGATAGGGGGAACAATGTAGTCCCCTGGATGAAGGTGTCACAGACACACCTCTCGCGTGCGAGTTCGACTGACTGAGGAGCACAGCGACGGGGCGTTGAGCTGCTCGTCGAGTCACAAAATTATTCTCCTCCACGGTTGCGGGTGGGAAAAACCACCCCGCGCTAATCCGCTTCCGGCTTATCGCCTCCTTATCGCTCACGTGCACTGCTAGCTTTTCCCCGGAAAACTGTACGCTTCTGCCTCAGGCCTGCAGGTAATCGTCGATGACATTTTTAACATTCGCCACAAAGTACCTATGTGGGTGTCATGGAATGGATAGCTCACTAATATCAACTATAATCTGTTTGATGTAGCAGTTTATGATGAGACTAGTAGACCCAGAGTACCAAAATACACGTTCACCCGATGCCGTCAAAGTTTTCGGAAAACGCTGACTACATACATTCCATCATCGAGCTTTGTTATGGACCATTCGAATGCAATCGGGTTGTTCAACTGAATGGAGCCAGGATGGGCCATTGCTCAGAGATAGCTCCTTGTGACGTTGAGTGGTTGATGAGCGGTTGATTGTGCCCGCTGATGTCGTGGAAAGCTCCATTCTCGATAACTATTGTTCACCCTGTATGATTAAAGCACTTTCTGTTGGCCCAATTAGATGCAAAGATCAAAACTTACGATCAGATAAAGAAAACTAAACACATTCTGGTCTAGATTGATGGACTCCACAAGAATGTCCTGACTCTCCTTTTCCATTACAAACCGATTGTCTCCATGAAGGGAAACTTTCCTATTTGGGAAACATGCTCCGAGGCACCATTCCGGGGTGCTGGCGGAAACCACGAAATATTCAAGTAACAGCAATGCACTTTAATCCTTGGCTTTGCAGCTTGGCAGCGGAGACTTCTTTTCATATGCCATGGAAGTGGCAGACTCAGGCCTTAGCGCTATAGATTCAGCATGAAAGCCACGCAATGCTCCATGGCGGCAAAGCCATGGTTCAATGGGCTTTTCACCAGAGAGATATTCCATCTATCCGATTACTTCTATGAATGTCTGTCTAAAATGAGATGGCATACCTTGCAAGTCAAGATTTTCTGAGAGAGTGTTGAACTATGCACACCTTATCTCCCTAAACTCACCTGAGAATATGCTCCAATATTGGACACGCGCTTGCATCGAATGAAATTGAAGAAAGCATGATAAAGCTTTTTCTGAAGCCAATAAGTAGTAGGAATTGTGATATAGTACTTATACTCTCGTGGCATATTCCCTGATCAGGCTAGCTCTCTAACTTCCTGATAGAGTAAGATATCTGGCTAGCCGGCCCGACATACTGCCCTACATACTACCCTTTCAGGAAATATGTCTCCCATGGATTCTTGGACTTCCTTCTACCTCGTATACGACCGAACTAAAACCTTCAAATTACCGACGATCATAACAGGCATGGGCGTCTATATATACAAGGAAAGGTCTCGCGTGGCTACTGGGGTTTACATGTACATCTCAAAACAATATTAATCATTGCACGGGTGTCTGCCTCGCACGACGACCTCTTGAAATATGGATAAAACATACCACTCCAACTATTCAAACAGTCATGTCTCACGAGCTCTCACATCTGAGGCCGATCCTTTGGATCTACCTTATCGTCAGGTGACCGAGAACGCCAACATGGAGGAATACACGACGGAAACCACCACAGGAGAGATCATCAAACCAGTCCGGTCCGCTGCTACAGGGAAAACGGAAGAGTGGAAGCTGGTAACATTCAGTGTCGACGATCCCGAGAACCCAAAGAATTGGTCCAAAGCCTTCAAATGGTATTGTACCATGGTGGTCTCGTTCACGTGCTTTGTCGTCGCTTTCGCTAGTAGTGTTATCACGGCCGATATTGAAGGCCCTGCAGAACAGTTCGGCGTTTCTCGAGAGGTTAGCCTTGTCGTCGTTACTGTCTTCGTTATTGGCTTTGGTGTCGGTAAGGCTCTTTCAGTACTTTAGCTTGATAAACTTCGCTGACTAGGCTCAGGTCCCATGGCTTTTGCCCCCCTGTCCGAAATGGTGGGCAGGCGGATGATATACGCAAGCACGCTCTTACTAGCTGTCATTTTCATTATTCCCTGCGCCGTAGCTCCTAATATTGGAACCCTTATCGTCTGCAGAGCTATTGACGGAATCGCGTTCAGTGCTCCCATGACGCTAGTGGGTGGTACTTTGGCCGATCTTTGGAAAAATGAAGAACGAGGCGTTCCGATGGCAGCGTTCTCAGCTAGTCCATTTATTGGGCCTGCCATTGGACCTCTGGCTGGTGGTTATCTTGCCGACGCTACGAACTGGAAGTGGCTTTACTGGTTGCAGTTAATCCTGGCCTTCGTTGCTTGGGTGCTGATCACCTTCACTGTTCCAGAGACGTATGCACCAACTCTTCTCAAGAGGAGAGCGAAGAAATTGAGAAAACAAGAGGACGATCCTAGCTACGTGACGGAAACGGAGCTAGATTCTCGACCTATGGGCGAGAAGTTGCGGGTGTTCCTCTTCCGCCCATTCCAGCTTCTGTTCCTAGAACCCATAGTTCTGTTCATTGCACTTTACATGTCGGTTCTATACGGTTTGCTGTACATGTTCTTTGTTGCGTGAGTAATGCACTGGGTGCTGTTATGCCCTTCTTACTAACTGTCAACTTAGGTACCCTGTGGTATATCAATCCGGGAAAGGATGGAGTGCCGGCTCGACCGGTCTTATGTTCATCCCACTTGCCATTGGCGTGCTAATGAGTGCAGCTTGCGCGCCTTTTGTCAACAAGCATTATCTGTCTCTCTACGCTAAGTACGGAGGGAAGCCCCCTGCTGAAGCTCGATTGATTCCGATGATGTTTTCTTGTTGGCTTATCCCCATCGGACTGTTCATTTTTGCTTGGACCTCATATCCCACTATCCATTGGATTGGACCTGCCATTGGAGGCTGGCCAGTCGGATTCGGATTTATCTTTTTATATAATTCGGCCAATAACTATCTCGGTATGCTCGTCCTCAAAGACTATAAGGACTTCTTTGCTGACTGATTTCTTAGTGGATACGTACCAGCACCAGGCCGCATCTGCGCTTGCCGCTAAAACATTCCTTCGCTCAATGTGGGGTGCATCTACTGTACTCTTTACTGAGCAGATGTATAATCGTCTTGGGTACCAGTGGGCAAGCTCGTTGCTTGCATTCATTGCGCTGGCTTGCTGCGCGATTCCGTACGTCTTCTACCTCAAAGGAGCGTCCATTCGGCGGTTCTCGCGTTATGCCTTCAGTGACGACGAAGAGAATGGCGAGAAAAACTAAGAAGCAGCGGGTTTAGTCGCGTGGAAACCAAGCGTTTATCTGCAGCTGCTCAACTTTTCAACATAATACTCGATATATCCCCGATAATATTCTTTTCTCATGCCCTGCACATTACGTGGACGATTGATGCGTTATCGATGTCAAGAAGATATGTACACCATGTGTTTCTAAACGAAAGATGCTGCAATTAGACCTCATACCACATAGTATAATAGCTATTCATCTAATGTGAAATTCTCATGTACTTATAGAAATCTTCTTGAACATCTCATTATTCATAATGTGGGTAATCTCTGACAAGTCATTGTACTTCCCGCCTTTCTTGGTAGCACTCCTTCATTCCAGACCAGCCTTAAGTATCTTTTTCCAAGGAAACTCTTATCTGCTCAATTCCTACCCACCAAAAACACTTTCGTGACACGCATAGGAATTTTAACAAACTTGGCTATGGCAATTTGGCTAAAGAATGTAGCACCCGTTATCACCATTTTCAACTTGCCTGACTTTGCTATTGAGGAGTCAATCTTAAGAGTATATCACTATAGCGATATTTGTTGTGCTGTACATGTTCAGGAGCAGTCATTCCGAGTGACTTGCGTGCTCTTTCAGAGGACTTTAACTGGATCACCCTTCCAAGGATTTCTATCATATAACAGGAGTCAAAGGCGTTGACTTGAATGAACGTGCAGCGACTAGATGAATTAGTGGATACTAATTATGCAAACAACTACACCGATCCTGGCTGCTCTTGCTGCGACCACTGCTCTGGCACAGACAGCAGCTGGTGTTTGGCCACAAACCAAGACCAACCTAGGGGTCTCATTTGGAGATAACATCATAACTCCAGGGGTCTGGATAAATCCAAACGATATGTACCTCCTGTTATGACCAGCGTTCTTCCATATCAGGAGAGTGAAGTCCCAGTTCTATCTTTATTTAGTATGCTTACATCGTCCAAAATAGATACTACATACCCGACCGTGTATCCCGGCTACTCTACAAGCTCCTACCCGGGAACACATGCTCATGATGGTGGATTACGATGTTGCTGATTCGGCCTTCGCCACGTCGGACCAATACTCAAGCCTTGTACCTGGTCGATTGGTCAACACAACAACTCGTCTGCACTGGTGGGGATGGAACTACACACTGCAGGACGGGATATTCATCAATTCTAGCAATGCTCTGGCGTCGTATCACCCTGCGCAGCCTGCAACAAGCAGAGTACACGACTTTACCTTATTCCTGTTTGATCAGCCACAGGAATATGCTCCACCGCAGGATGTCCTGGAGGGTCTATTAGAGGAGCATGATCCAAGGCATAACTTCACGTTGGCTCCTATTGTTGAAGCTGTCGGTGATCCACTGGCTGCAACGTATTTTTGGAGTTCGACGCCTGGTGTGCCGGATAACAGCTCAGCGACGTACACATACTCTTGGGAGAAGATTTGAGGACAATAATGATAAGAAATCATCTTCAAACTGCGATTATGAGATTGGTTTGTCTATCATTCAGCATGCAATGGGGCGAGTGACGGAAGGATCTACTTACAATCCTTGATCCCGTTAGATTAGCGTCCGTCACTAGAATAGCTTGGCTGTCTAATAACCCCATGCCTAAATATGCCAAGGCAGTTGCAGATAGCGCAGGGTACAAGTAGGACCTTCAATCCGGAATGCTATCACGTTGGTTAGGAAGCCATAGTACCAGCCACTGCCTTACGTCACCGGCTATGATAGTCCAGATAGGGCTTAGGGCACCGCCAAGCTTTCCCCTCTTGCCCACGTGACTGTACACTATGATTAGTCATGAGATGCTGGACGGGGTCGGTGCTCGGCCAAGTCCGTCTTCAGCATTTCGTCTTTGCGCCCAGCTCTCGCGGTGATATTCTTGCTGCGAGATGATGCGAACCTGGCTCATCTGAATCGACATTACGAACCTGCTGCCAATGGACTAATTATATAGTACTCACTATCGATGTGAACCCTGCAACCTACAACGACTGCCACCGCCGCATTCTTTTCTCCCGCTCGACTCCGCTACGTTCATGTGGGAAAGTACCAGTATCCCAGCAACACGCACTCATTAATCTAGCCGAATCGCCGATCATATATCAGACCGAGTCTCTCTTTTATCAGTTTTATTTCACATAGCCTTGCAATGACGTCCCCATACCAGCCGTCCGTGTCGTACTCGCCGTCCGTAGCCGGCCCCGACATGACGGCTTCAGGTCCTTCGACTGCCTCATCCAGACCAGTGTCCGACCTGCCCCAATCTCAGGTTGACGCAATCATCCGAACGAAGCGAAAGGCCCGCGAACCTAAAGCCTGTTACCCGTGTCACGCCCGCAAAGTTAAGTGCGATCGAAACCTACCTTGCGACGGTTGTGTCAAACGCGATCATGCCGATCTTTGTTCATATGAGCGTCCCTCGAAAAAGCGCGTCATGACCGGCTCGCTTCCGCAATCCTATCCCGACGGCCCTATCCCTGGTAGCCAGCCTACGGGCGCAGAGAATCTCGGGTACGCGCCCGAGCCTCCCGTGCGTCTAAAGCAAGAACCGGGTGTGAGCCGGCCAAGTATAACAGCAGCCGGCGGCCGTGTGTCGATTGCGCGCGAGGAATGGGACAATGTTCGCACGAGATTGAAGGAGATGGAGCAAACCATCAATAACCTGCGGGTGGGTCTGGAAAAGGCCGAGGAAGGGCCGGCTTCGACGCTGGAGACGAGCAGCGTGCGGAGCGGGGATGCGAGTAACAGATCCAAGGGTGCCTCCCCGGAACGAGAGGGCATCCATGCGCCGAATACGTTTGGTGAAGGTACTGTACACCTGGGATCTAGGTCTGTTTTGGCCTACATCTTGAACAATAAGTCGGGGTCGGATCAGCTTCAAGCGCTCCTTGAGGGTGGGATTCTGCCGAAGCTGGGTCTGGATAACGAGTCTGCGACGTATCCGTTTGTTGACCTGTGGTCATCGGATATGTCATCCTTTGATATAAGCGCCGTTTGCAGTGCACTGCCGAGTGACCAACAGTGCAAAGAGTTAGTCTTCACCGACAGCTGATTTGGTAGTGTTGTGGAGTTAACGAAGGTTGCTACAGGTTCTTCTACTACTACCGGGACATAGCAGGCGCCATCTACCCGGTGCTGGAAGATGTCCCACAGTTCGAAATGAATCTCGATCTTATGCTTCGGAATAGAGCTGCCATGGGTGGTATGTATCGGGCGGATGCCGATCAAGCCCAGAAACCTTTTGGTGTCACTATTGCATATATGGGACTGCTATTTGCCGTTCTTGCTTCCGGCTGCCAATCGTCGGATTTGCCAGGAAAAGAAAGAGAGCTTACATCTCAAGTATACGGTAAGTTCTGTCTGCTTTGTGGTAGAATGCAAGTGCTGATCTATTGCAGTGTGCTGCTCCTACCAGTGTCTTCGAATGACCAACTTCCTATCCCAGCCCACAATAGACGCCATGCAGACGCTGCTTGTGATTGGGAACGTACTATCATACAACATGAACCCCGGGATATCGTATGTTCTCCTTGGTATGACCCTTCGAATGGGGCTGGCGCTCGGCTTGCATGTGGAGTCTGGTCATTTCACCGCAGCTGAGCGATATCGTAGACGACACGTGTGGTAAGTTTCTCGACTGCATTACGATGAACAGCGGCTAACAAACTCTAGGTGGTCCATGGCATGGCAAGATAGTCACTTCTCCCTTTCCTATGATCGGCCGTCGACGACAGCCGTCAGCCAGCCAGAAATTGCCTACAAGGATGACCGGAAGCCCGGCGAGCTCTCATATTTCGAGACACTGTGTCGGATCATATCACTAGCGCTGGAGGTGGTCCGCAGCCGGATGCTGAGCCCGCACTCACAACTAAGCTACAAAACGATCCAAACCTACAAAGAACGGATCCAACAAATCATGATAGAGGCCAAGCCACATCTTCGAGACCGCAAATACTGCCTTTCAGCAACCGAACATCTCGAACGGGTCGTCCTCAAGCTGCACTCATCTTACTTTTCTTCTGAGCTCTGCCGGCCAGCGCTCAAAGCAAACGCCGACATCAGTGACCCCGCCTTATCCAACATGCGCACCGACTGCGTGAGCAACCTGATGACCACCGTGGAAGCCTATGTTGAAATGCACACCGTCAGTTCCCACGCCTCAAGGTCATGGATTGCCCTGCAACGCGCCATTAGCTCGATTTTCCTGCTGGCAGTCACAGAGGAAGTCAAGGGCCACTCCCGGTTCTGGACCCTCCTACAACAACTCAAGATGATCATCGCCGAACGAGCCAACATCGAGGGCGACTACGGAGCCGCCACAGAAGCCGCCGCGGTCCCACCAGTCGACAGCAGCGCCCGCCTCGGTGCACCCACGAGACCCCCAAGCACCACAGCGCCCAGCCCTGCGGGTCTGAATTCAGCATCTCCAGCCTCCGCCGCCGTGGCCGTCGACACGCAGACTCAATGGGCCAAGCCCTTAACAAAGACGCTACGTGCGTTAGAGAAATTGGAAGGCGCATTCAGTGCCCAGGCGGCTCGTGCCAGTCAAGCAGGATCACCGAATTACCTCAACCCGGGCATGGGCGTTCCGCCTGTGTCGGCCAGCATGACACCGAGTCTCGGATCCTTGCCGCCGCCCACGCCAGAGAGCTCTACCAGCGGCGAGTGGACGATACCTAATATTCTTGACAGAGCGCAGGAGTACATCCACCCGCCGCTCTGGAGCTGAGGGATGCCAATATAGGCTGTACATTTGTTTAATTATTTAGGCGTCTGATATATGCATCGGTATAGGGAATTGGTTGGCTGGGATGGCACGGCCGGCGCATGAAAATGGGACATGTATTGACTTTAATCTAGTTCCTAGTATCATATATTCATATCTACTCATCATCCACAATCTTTGATTCCATTCAACCTTTCAACAGTCTACATACGTAATATCACATACAGTGCAATCAAAGCAAACTCAATCCCTCGCAGGCAATATCTGCCCCACACACTCCCCAAAACCAACCCCCTCCCCAGCCCAAGCCGTCAACCTCACCACATCCCCGTCAACCAAATACCCCCTCTCCTCCCCATCAACTCCTTCCAACTTCACCCTCTTCTTCCCCCCCTCCGTCACCTCCAGAAGACACCCATATGACCCCTCCTCCTCCCCACTCACCGTCCCTGTGCCCAAAATATCCCCCGTGCGCAAATCACACCCCGTACTCGCCAAATGCGCACACATCTGTCTTATACTCCAGAAGAGGTCCTTCGCATTACCCCGTCCCAGCACAGTACTACTACCACCACTACCGGCTTCCAGCTCCGTCACAACACTAATATCATAATTAAACTCCCCCGGATCCTGCAAATGCGCCGGGAGGGAAACTCTCGGCTCCGGACCGGGCGTCTTAAACGGCTGCAGTGCATCCAGAGTGACGATCCAGGGGGAGATTGTAGTCGCGAAGTTCTTCCCGTTCAGTGGGCCGAGTGGAATCATCTCGAGGCCTTGGATATCGCGTGCTTATTCCCACCGGCTTGTTAGTACTGTCTTTGTTGTTTATGAAATGGAATTAAGTAAGATGGGGGTGGGGTAATACTCACCACTCCAATCATTCAACACCACCAACCCAAAGATATGCTCTTCCGCATCCTGGGCTTTGAGGCCCTGTCCCCGAGGGAGAGGGTTTCCGATGATGATTCCCAGTTCGAGCTCGTAGTCAAGTGCGCGACATGGCCCGAAAATGACTTTCTTTGTCTGTGGGAATGAGGGATCGGTTCGGTCGTAGAAGTGCCCTGATGGTCTGGTGACGGGAGTGCCGGAGACGGAGATGGTGCTGGCGCGGCCGGCGTAGCCGATGGGGAAGTGGAAGAATGCTGGGGGTGGGGCCGGGTGGTTCAGAATGATTTGCCCCGCGTGTTGGTTGTGGGGGAGGCTGGCGCTGTAGTCTATTTATGGTGGGGACTTGTTAATGGTGGTGGGGACTTTTGGAGGGTAATTGAGGGGATGGGGGGTTATGTACCGGTGAAAGAAGGTATAGAGACGGGGAGATGCATGGTTACGGTGGTTATGTCCGCAGTGCTGGATTCCGGGAGGGAAGAGGTGGAGGAGGGTTGCAAGATGGATTGTAGGACATGGCGGACTTGAGTTTGGGTGCTACGGGGCAGGGCGGCGAAGGGGTTAAGGGTGGTGTTGGAGAAGATGTTCTCGGGGAGAGATGGGATGGAGGAGAAGAGGCCGGCGGATTGGAGGTCGGAGAGGAAGATGACGGTGTTGTGGAGGCGGGTTGCGCATTGCGGGGTGGGATGGGAGGGTGAGGAGGCGATGCCGTAGGGAAGGTTGTGGATGGAGAAGTGGTGAGAGTAGGAGGGAGAGGTCATTTTGGTTGTTTTGTCTCTTGTACGCTGTCTGAGGAGTGAGTATGCTTGCTTTGATCTTTGGATATCTCGTATACGGAATAGTTGGATGTTTTATAGTTCGTAAATGCGGGGATTGGCCCGTCGGGTGAATGCAGTTCGCGCCCACATCCCGATGGTTGAAGTTATCCGCCAGATTTATCCGAGGATATACTGGGATGAGGATTTCATTGTCTATGACTTTCTGGGGACGGATTTTGGTTTGGTAAGGATAGGCCAGATGTTGACGAGTTGCCATGGGAGGTATTATGAGAGTAGCAATGTCTTATTCTCTGCATAGTAAGCTGCCTCATACCATTTGAAGGTTATGGCTAGGATGTACTCTTGGAGCAAATATTGATTGTTGATATGTTCGGCTCTGTAGCAGATAATTTTATTAGCAGCAAATTTGTACGGGGTATCATGATGAAAGGATACGCAGAGAAAGAGAGCCACTGGCCTTATGTGGAGAACTGCTATAGCTGTCCTACTATTATCAATGAAACCTGCCAAGCCTGTCAGGCATACCACAACCCTAACCAGATTCCATTGCTAATGGCCATTGCTTGCTATTTAATATTTCGTTTGAGTATAACCGAAGAAGTTCATTAGAGCTCTTCCTCATCCGAGTATCGCAATAAGAGGTGATGCCCAGGATACTGGGCAGGCCAATGACTTGCGCTGGTAAAGTGCATGTGCCGTCTTACATGTTGCCAATACTACAGATGACGAGTGTCACGTAGATTGATAGTTATTACTAGCTAGCTAGGGTAGCTAGCCATACATGGATGAGCGTCCACAGATACTTAGTACCTGTCGTCCTTACCTTTGTGAATGGGACGTTAGACCTCCCAGTGAATGTGTGGCAGAGGATTTTCATGACGATGATAAAATAGGGACAGGGAAGGAATGGCTCTTATGTATGTTAAATTCGGGATTAGTCTCATGAAGATGTTGAGGAGAGATCTTGAGGCAAGGATGCCAGGCGCTCGCTAGCTGGGAAGACATGATATGAGAATGATAAATCAGAATCCTGAATGCCCCATTCAAATTATCAAGATTGAATTATACCTCTGCGTTGGAAATATCTGAAGCTTTATTTCATTGAAATTTTTGATTTCTGGATCTCTTTTGCACTGACAGTATTGGGATTATCAAAGATCCAATTAGATACTTCCAATGAACGCGTCGATGAACAGGACTTCATGAAGAGACAGTTGTATCTCATCACAGCCATAGCACCTGCGAATGAAGCTGTAGAATATACTAGCGACCCCCTTTTCTTTCCACCCACGCCTCATAATGATGGCCTGCATACATTTATTTTCATATGCTACTTGATTTGGCGCCCTTCATGAAGGCTGGTCAAAGAAGTAAAGATCGCTTCAATGACGTGTCTACAACTGACTTTCAGAACTCGGACACGCCGACATTAGCCGAAGTCCATTTAAAGACTGAACTACTAAGAGTGACTACTAACAACATGTGCACAAAACGGGGTTGTACTGTTATGTGCCCATTGGACCCATAGTGCTCACATAGCCAGTGCTAATATCCATCACTTGTCAGAGGCTCGCCCAACGGCGATCTTCAAAAGCACCTATCTAATATTGCATGCTTTCAATACTCCACTTATCACATATTTGCGATGCATCAGGTGGTCCTGCAAGTGCTACTCTGAATGAAATCTACGCGCATGGTCAGATGTCTTGCCTAAACAGCTCTGCTGGAATCGCAATATATCATATCATATTATCATCAACACAAAACAACACATCAAACTCTTCACATTCAGAAGTAATAATAGCAGTGTAAAACGCAATCCAGTTCAACCGCACCAGCGAGTAACATACTTACATATGCCCAAATATAGCAAACAACACACACGTAAGTAGGCAACTACCAGCATACAGGCAGGTCAGTACCCTTGCTCCGGCTACATATGCATACGTATCATGCACAATCGAAGTAAGAGCTAATTATGTGTAGGTGCTCCTGTATGTAAATGCAAACCTACCTGACCGCCACCGGTACATACATGAACACCGTGCATTAGTCCAGTCCAATCTGCGAGAATTAACATGTAATCCGATCGCAACCACTGACACACTCGGAAAAGAAGGGAGACAAACTACAGAGTACTGATTACTATCAAGATCGGCGTGGGTAAAGTACCATATTGTTACAATACATGCTCTAGCTCCATTTTTCCCACGCGAAAGCTTCGAGAACAGAGCACGACAGTTGCGGCTGTTACAGCAGACGGTGGATTAAATTGTTATCGACGTGCTAGGTTTGAGACCGGCAGGACGGGATTGAAATAATGTGTGGCGCAGTTGGGGCTGGAAGTAGGTGCGAAGAACCGCGGGGTGTGATAATGATGAGGAGTGAGGGTTGAGTTTTTGAAGGATTGGGGTTAAGGTGGTGATTTACCTGATAAACGAGCCGGTTATGCAGGAACATAAGTACGTACGTATCTCGGGCTTCGATCAATGACTAACACTCTGTTTATACACTAATATGGCATGATGTATGTGCTATTGTGGAGTTTGTTGGTATCTTTGGCTGTTGATTGTGGTTGTGGTGTGCAAGAAATGTCTCAGGGAAGATGGCGTTCCTCAGCAATGGCCACTACGGCCAAGGGTAGGTAGGTTGATGGGGAAAATAAAAAGAAAAAAAGGGGAAAAGAACACTTGGCCAGTGTGGGACCATATTTAGCTATTCTTCAGCTGCAATGGATGCTCGGGAATATAATTCATTGGCGCCTACAAGGTGAAAAGTTTCCTATCGGGCTATTGTGGTAGACTGAGAGCATAATTGCTTCTTTTGTTCAGATCAATGCAGCGGGCGCTAAACTCCGACTGCCGCATATGGGCAAACACATCCACGCCCTGAACTTGTGGATACCATGCCATGAGTCTGACCTTGATACCAGGTAAATCAGGAAATTGCTTGAATGCAATGAGAGAAGAAATAATCGAAATCGCTAGTTATCCGATGTGGTCTTGTGTGCCATCTATTCTTCAATGCAGGCAATGGGACATCCATATAGTATCATATATATCGGGCAACTCAAAGCATCATCAGCTGCAGATTGTCTCCAGACTGCATTTGGTGTATTGGACAAATAGTGGGTGCCGACGTTCCCGAGCTTATCCAATCACCTGAAGTCATTAGGCCCTGGCATTGACATTGCGAATCATGGATACCCAGTGGACTCGAGGACGCGGGCAATTCGACTGCGCTGCCGCCAGGTGGCGATGACTGGGATGTTGGAAGGGGTGCTGGAAGACCCGGCGGATAGTTATTAGGTGAAAGCACAATAATCGCCTTGGGACGTGATGAGCCAGAATTTATGGCTTGCATAATATGGGGAAGGGACGCTTCTGAGGAGCAGTCAGTATCGGATCATTCCAATTATACTTCAGCGACAAATTCCGCGTACCTGTTGCTATGTAATAAAAGGAGGATCCTGGGTACTGAGCTGTACCATTCCACTGTTCAGTGAGAGGAAGGTTGGAGTCCAACGAGGGATAAATGTTGTTCATGTTCTGTATTTCAGGAGTGATAGGATTCGAGCGAGGATAGTAGGCACTGTTTCTCAGGGCGGATGAGGGGGAGGTTGCCTCGAGGTCATTCGGAGTATCGTATACGGAGGGGAAGGATGGCTGAGAAGATAGGACGGGTATCGAGCCCAGAGCGCTATTGCAGGATGAACAGACGACTCTTGATTGTGGGAAGTACGTGGAGCCCAAAGTTGACGAGGCATCCTGAATGGGAGATGAGGGATGTCCTTCAGTGTCGAATATCGGCGGCATTCGATCGACAGGTGATGGCGTAAGTGTGCTGGGATGGTCCCAACCGTTTAAGCTGGCTGCTGCTCGCAGCTCACTGGCAATGACGCGTTCTTGGAGCTTGGCAATGCGATCTCGAATCTTGCGCCCTGCTAACTATTAACTGACTTCTATTTGAATCTATCATAAGTGGATATCACTCACGATGATTTCGTTGTGAGAGCCGATTCTGTAATCTTCTCCTCTCGATAGGGTCCTGCTTCTGCCCTGGGGCATCGTTGGAATTTCTATCTTCTTTTGACGGTGGCCGCATCTTCGTGGACATTATGTGAGCCGTGTTGATTGTGTGTCGGAAATCGTCAATAGGGCCCGATGTATCAGTATTAGGTTTATGTCACGTTGATATTGGGAAATATCATAAAAAGTATAGGTTTCGCGCCCCAAGTCCTGGGAAAAGCGTCTCTGGTAGCGCAGCTCGGAAATAGTTTGTATCTAAAAGTGCCGTTAAGGGTGTGCCGCTCTCCTGGTAATATGGAATATTGCTACCTTCGCTTACAGAAAATCTTACACGCATCCAGTTCAGCGTGTAGGCTCAATAGATCTGGTGCTCGGAGCTTGTAGAGCATTCATATGTCGGTTTTGATTGGTTATGTCATCCGGATTTACGAGGTTTCGCAATGAGTGCAACATAATCCCGGGCAAGGCCAAGGAAAGAGGAGGCGCCGAAGGAAGTATTTGAATCCCCACCGCAGCAGGTTACTCGGCCACTTCACTATGTCCGTCGGTTCATGCTTTTCAAGCGTCTGGGTTGGACTGGCCTACTTCCCATCCGGCTTGCTGGTACTTGGCCCGTGGTTTTCTTGACCACGTTCCGCTACCAAGTCTGCAGCCTTGATCCATGTCCCACATCCTTCTTTGGTAGTAGATGTGCCCGGGAAGCAATAAATCATGGCTTTAAGGCGCGAGCAAGGCTTTTTGTGGCGCTGCTGATCATCGGGGTTAGGTCAAACAATGATCAATAAAAGGCTCTTATCCAACATGGAATTTGTCGGACAATAGAGATCGGTCCAGATCAGCCTACTGAGACCCCTCATCTCATTCGTCGCACGTACACCCCATGGCGCAACCCCCACTCATATGGGCTTCGGGCCAAGGCAGTGATTTAAGACAGTTTGACGGCCTTGCCAGCCG